TTTCGAGAATAAGGTCCTGTATGCATTTCACAGCAGAACTACTAAGTCCGTACATGGCCCCGAATGCAGCTCATCACTTTGCACGCACACACAGAGGTACTTCACAAGCATCGCATTTCGCGGCCCGCACCTAATGCTATGGTGCGTAAGTATACCAAGCCACAAAGCTAACTTTTACATCACACATCACATCACCTACTAAACGCCTATGTATTGTGTGGTCACACAGCTTGGGCATTGCGTCTCAATGTCCAAGCCGCAAAGCTGAGCAAAACCAACTTGAAGCAATTTGTAGGGTTTTTCGTGATTTTACCCAATCAAATGCAGCAGGCCACCTGGCCTACGATTTCCGATGACAATACATTGATATTTCTAACACCTACGTACTGCTGTAACTCAGCCTACCGCAACTAGCTTACTATGAATTCTTGCCTTACACGTTCGCTGTACACGTTGCCCACAAACTACCTACAAGCTACAGCACACACGTTTGAAGCCCGAACATCACCGCAGGAAACTCGGCATTGTCGCACGGAGCTTAATATCCGACGACATGGATACATGCAGTCGTTGATGGTAACACGGCTGCATTAGGGATGTACAGAGTTGGAAACGAGAAGTGCGAATGATCTGAAGCTGCAGATCTGACGCGGAGATTGCCGCGCATCCAACTCGTTCTGCAAATATCAGATCTGCAGCTCCATATCATTCGAACTTCAAAGCGCACGTCCATGAATGTTGGAGCTGAGTTTTCGGTCCGGACTATTATTTGGGTGGGAGGAGAGTGCTATGAACCGGGACACATGGAGCGACGGGGTCGAGGAGGATGCACATGTTCACTGAAAAGGTCATAAGAATCGTGGCCATGCTTGCGACGCCGGATTGATGCGGCGTCGCAAGCATGATTATAATGATCTTCTCATTGGCGGCACCTGGCGGCAGTGTCGAACGAGATGGTTGATGGTTGGCACTATTGAGTTGGGTTTGGAGCAGTGCAGGGATGGCAACGCTGGGGTGGTGCTGGATGGTGAAGACATCTTTCTGCTGTCTCCACCATCTAGTACCATCCCTGAGTTGCAAGTTGCCCTCGTTGCTATCGCCACACGGTCGAGGATGGCGGCGACCCTGCACTGCTTATCCTTATCATCCGGATAAGCATGTTTCGTAAAACCAAAATATGTCGACATACTTTCAGAACGATACATAATCCAAGTACAGAAAATAGCATATTTTGGCTTTACGAAACAGTTTGTTTCGTGTTCCTTGTTTATATCCGGCATATTGTTTCGCCGTGTGTCGTAAGTCCATGGTATTGACAGATTTGGATAGTGGCGGGAAGTATTCGGATACGGATAGTGTCGATTACCATGTGCATACAATAATCAAGTGTAATAATCCAACTATATAATTTTACAGAGGAATATATAATTTTACAGAGGATTCCAAATCGATAGTCGGACATACTTGGCATTTGTATTGGACTTAAGGGGAACATATTTTGTCCGAATGAAAGTGTCCGAACGGAATATGTTCGGACATACTTGTGTATTGTATTAACCCGCATAAGAACGAAGAGCTTTACAGTAGCGAGTGACGACAGAGCATCTGCCCACAAAATTGCGCGCACCGCAGCGTAGCGGAGGTCGTGTATATAATTTTGTGCAGGCGGTGCCTTGGCGAGGAGTGAGCCCCAATCGTGCACTTCACCGAATGTCCAATCGATTCCTCTTGTCGGGAAGTGCGGCAGGTAGGCCGCAGGCCGTGCCGCTACCCGGACAAGGCCTGTGGTACAACTATTCGCATTTAATGCGTAAATTCGGTTAAGTGCGTGTCCGAAGCACATATCCAGCAAATATTTGTCCGAGTCGTTATGGAATGGGCTGTGTATACGCTACACGGTACTTCGAAGTATTAACGTTAAGTTACATTAACAGTAAAATCAATTTCTTCATGAGATCGTTAACTTTGCGCGTAAACAAAGTACATGTCACGTTCGTTACCAATGGATGGATGCTGAATGACAATGTACCCGAAAGCTCAATGCAAATTCGCCACGAGGCGTCCGTCCACCCTAACAATTTTCATAATCATTTTCATACTCTACCCCACCTACAGTATGTTTGGGTTGCTTGTCGTATGGAACATCGTGGCGTTTTTCGGCTTCGGGCTGCCTTCCGAGGTCGAGTTCAATTTCCCCTTGGAAGGTGGTGCCATCGTGTCACCACCTTCCAAGGTCAAATTCAGTTTCCCCAAGTTTGTGGGCCAGCCAGCCAAGTTTCCGATCCCGACGGCACCGACATGTGGCATCCGCAAGGCCAAGTCGGCCAAGGAAGTTGTGTACATGACCGTGGACGACGGACCGTCACCGTCGGGCCGGTTGAACCTGCTCAACGCGATGGACCAACTCAACAACCGCACGAACAAGGCGGCGGCGTACGTGACGTTCATCGAGAGTGGGTACAACTTTTGCGGCCAAGGAGCGAACGCGATTTTCACCTTGCAGTGCAGCTCCGCCGCGTACGATACGTCTTTGCAGTTGCTTGTGTGGACAATCAAAGCCGGTCACATGATCGCGGCGCACTCGGACTCGCACTTTTACGACGCCAACGCGGGAATTTGTAACTACGTGACCATGCCCTTGGTGACCAAGGTCGAGGACAAGTACGCCAAATGCGGCAACGATACGTGGTCTGACATGGTCCGCGGCGCGTTGCGCATCGACGAGGCGCTGGCCAACGAAACGCTGTGGGAGACGGACGCGGACAGAGCGGCGCACAAGCGGGCGGTGTCGACGTTGTGGTCATACGCGCGGTTGCCGTGTACGAACGTGTGGCGACTTCCCGGTGAGTCGTCCGAGAGCGGGCTGTTCAAGGAAGTCACCGATCGAGACGCTCGTTTGCTCACGGCGGACAAACTCTTTGAGGGAAAGCTCGAGTGCAAACCCGACACCAAGCCGTGGTTTGTCTTGGGATGGGACGTGGACTGGTACTTGGATGCCAAGGCAACGTACGACGCGCAAAAGGAAAAGTGCAGAGTCGCCCAAGACATTGTCAACCATTTCGACAACAAGGAGAAGACTGGGCCAAGGGAGGACCACGTCGTGCTGCTGACCCACGACTACTTTTTTGCGGACGAGGCGAAAGCGTCTATCTTTCGAGACGTGGTGGCCGAGCTGCAGATGCTCGGGTATACCATTGGCACTTTGGACCAGTACCCCCTCAAGCAATAACACGCGAGAGATAGATCCAACCACGAGTACTGTATTTAACACAAGTAAGGCCCGTTACAGTACGGAGTAAACCGTGGTGGAAAAAAGTATAGGACATTTCGTTTTCGACACATAACTTGCCTTGCGTTAGAACAATTGTCATGTACAGTGGTGGAAAAAAGTATAGGACATTTCGTTTTCGACACATAACTTGCCTTGCGTTAGAACAATTGACATGTACTGTACCTCACAATAGAGACTTTTAGAAAGTGCGAAATGTGAGTAGTTTACATCCTTTGCGCTTCGTTCGATTTTATTGATGTCTGAAGTTGGAAGTTTAACTGTAAAGAATTCAGATTTAGCAAGTCTGAAAAGTAAATCCCGACACACCAATCCAAACACCATCCATTATTCCCTCTCCTATTCTTAGCCTGTGCCTACCGGTATGACTTCATTGCGCGCAATTCAACGAGAGACACATAAGGGCGTGCAGAATGTGGATTTATGTATCATGTGCGACGTTATGAAACGATAGTCATCGAACACTTTGGACTGTTGGGACTCGGACTAGCTCAGCGGTCCTAATGCCCGCTGCTTTCGAAGTTTGAGGATCTTGAGTCAAGATTCTCCCTCTGTTTGGCCGTCAAGTATCGTGGCGACCAAACATAGGTTTACGTAGTCAGGACCGAGCTCGCCGCCCGTCGTCCATGCCTTGGCATACCGGTAGCCCCCGGTGACGCTATATAGGCATGTATATAACTGTTTAAAACAACCTTACATGGGCCGATTGCAAATAGTGTGTACTGTGCTGTATCTGTACTGAGTATAGTATATATATCTATATAGGACCTATATATTACTGTATACAGTATGTATTGTGCTTTTCACATGTTTTGCCTGTTGTTTTAGCTCCTAAAACCATCCAAAGTTTAAGCTAAACTGAAGTTGCACTCGACGTAAAAGTAAGCTTCCCCACCGTTCTGTCATTGGCTGATCTAAAACTTGCGTTGTCTTACTAAAACTACTACTGTACGTACTTCGTTTTATTAACTCCCGTGGCCAAGCAGTCATGCAGAGTAATGAACTACTGGGGTAAGCTCGCAGTGCACCAGGTCACACGAGCTTTGCAGCCAGCTTGTTAGCAACTCGTTGGCACGAAAAGTCGAGCAAGAAGCACTCAACATCAACCTTTATCGAGCATAGTCAAGAATCACACTCGCGTGTATTAGTTAATCCACTCTGTAAACCCCCGCGTTTGCCGAAATGAAATGGGCAAATGCTTCAGGTTAGCAACATATGCTGCAGGAACAGCTCTTGCTCATCCAATCAATGGTACTTCCGATTAGCTAAAACTAAGTTGAATTAATCTAAAACTTCGTCACCCACTGGTTAAATGGGTATTTATACCCAGATTAGCCAAAATATGTGAAAAGCACAATGCGTCCTATATACAGTACTTCGTAGTACATATATTGTTCTATTTACTACTTATATACTATTAATAGTACTACTTCCTGTTAATGTTCAGATTATTTTACACCATGACACTACTGTTCTGGTGATGCCTGCGGATAGCACACACTAAGCCCTTAAAATTCGCCTTACCATCCGCACCTGGAGAAAAATACCAGCTTCGCCAAAGGTATTCGTCCAGGTATCAAGGCAGATGGGGTCTGGGTATCCCGCGCATTGCTTTGGAGAAGCGCTTGATCCACATTTCCCACACGCCTTCGATTGATTGCGTGTGGGAGCCGTTAGCTGGGTTGACAAAGTTCGCTGAATGATTCACCCACTAGTGACCATACGAATGGTCGACCAACAGTGGATTGTTCTTCAGGTTGTGGCTTTCATTCGCCGACACGTATGAGCCAAACCTGTCCGATCTAGAAGCATTTTTAGACAACATACACGTAGAAAATATAAACACAACTGTATAGTTAAATACATGATGTTGGTTCCAGGGGAAATGTGCTTCTTGATGAGCCGCGACAGCGTTGGTTTTGTCCGGTCCGCCCCTGTAATGACGCCGAACCATTTCTTCGTTCTCCTGTCGACCCTGCCAAATACCCAGTGCCTTCCGCGGTTGTATTTGCTCTTTTTTTCATTGAAGTCTCCTCGATTTCGACCGTTACGCCTTCGGCACCAACCTACTCGCAAAAATGAATAGAATATATAGGTCTATATCGGACTATATCAATATAGGTCTATATAGACCTATATAGTCGACATAACAGCATTGGGGCACGCAACATTGGTACCAGTACTGCCGAACACAGGTCGCGGCAGTACTGGTACCAATCAACACTGGACTTACGCGCAATTTCTTCTTCCGCAATCACTATGCCAACAGGCTTTCTTGACGCCCACTCAAACAGAAGTCGCACCAGCTTTTGCCATAGGGATCTTGGAACCCTTGAACAACGACTCAAACCGCATTCCACGCTCAACGCTCCCACCGTCTGCACACGCCGCACGCCTGCAACGCCATCGCTTGGACTTCAACGCGAAGGACATGGCCAGGTCAAACTTGGGATATGTCGAGGCGTTGAGTAGGAGACCGACCTTCATGCACCACACAACACAAGTGGGTTCGTCCACCGTGGCCTTTAGAATAGAATGCCACGAAAATTCGCCTACATCAGACATGTCGTAAGGCACGAAGCCCTGGGGTAAATCGCTGTCTAGGGTAACTTGGTCCAACGCCGGCCCATCGGCTCATGAAGTATGGGTCGTTGTATTGTATACTAAGGCGAAATGACACTATATAGGTTATATAGTTTCTGTAGGCTATATAGGGTAGTGAGGTACTATATAGTCCCCATATATATATATCCTATACAACGTATATAATTTCCTATAATACCTATATAGATCCTATACAACCTATATAATTTCCTATAAAACCTATATAGTAACCTATATACTCTAAATAATTCCCTATATAACCTCTATAGTGTCCTATATAACCTATGTCCTATATAACCTATATAGTGTCCAATATAACCTGTATAGTGTCCTATGTAACCTAGATAGTGTCCTATATAACCTATATAGTGTCCTATATAACCTATATAGTTTCCTATATATCCTATATAGGATATTGTATAACCTATATAGTTTCCTATACAACCTATATAGTATCATATATAACCTATATAGCATCGTATACAACCTACATAGTATCCTATTTAAGCTATACAGGATATTACTTAGGAGATATAGTATCCTATATATCATATATAGTATATATTTTAAAGACTACATGGAGACGAGATGATGTTGTTCGACAATGAACATTTCGAAGTCAAATACGCTTCATTACTTCTTAGCTTTTTTAGCTGCCGGTCCTTTCTTCGAGGACGGACGCGCGCTCCGGCAGTTTGCTGGAATGTCCGCTGGCTCTATCACCAGGAATGGCATCAACTGTAGTTTCTCGTGAACTAGTAAACGGAGTACGGTGATATACAGACATAATAGGCATCTGCCAGCTCGATGGGACCCGCGCTATTGACCTTGGTAATGCAGCAGTCAATGGAGCGGGTCCTGTCGAGTTGTAGTCGATGGCATGGGGCCTGTAACATTAACAACACGGCTACCGGCCGCGAAGACATACCCACCAACTGCCGCACGACTCTCGCCAACGCGGCAAGCCATTCGACTTCGATCGGCGCAAGACAGACACCGCCAACCACGGCAGGATTGGCCTCGGACCGGACTGGGACTGGTGCACAGATGCAACCGGCCGCATTCGCCTGCGGTCAATGGTTCCGCCTTGCAGTAAACTTATCACGGCAGCATCGACCGCAGGCGAATGCACTATCGGCCGCAACTGACCTACGCCGCAAGAGTCATCATCACCACATAAGTCATAAGCTATTGACTGCGGCATATATACCGTGCCAGGGCCGCCACAACTGCACCTCGACCTATGCCATCACCGACCCTGAGGCTTCGCTGCTCCGTGTTTATGCACCGACGTCTCTATCCGGCCATTATTACCCGATACTGACTCCAGCAAATCTGTGTGACTTTTACTGGAAATATTTGCTGGTCAGCAAAGTACTGAATCGGATACTGGTGCGGTGCGAAAATATTTCAGTAACTAAATCAGCACACAGATTTACTGATTGGCCAATTTACTGGGCGCGGTGGGGATCCGGATCAGTACTTTGCTGACCAGCAAATATTCCAGTAAAAGTCACACAGATTTGATGGACTTGTACTGGATTTGCTGGAGTCAGTATCCAGTTATACTGGCCGGATGTCGACATCGGTGCATAAACATGGAGCAGCAAAGCCTCCAGGGTCGGTGATGGCATAGGTCGAGGTGCAGTTGTGGCGGCCCAGGCACGGTATGTGTAACCGTGCCCATCATCCGGTTACTAACCGGATGACTAGTCGACACCTCTTCAGTCCAAGGTGTCTCTTCGCAGACCAACATGTCCTCTTGCGCAACCAAGGTGTTCCCCCGACGATACATCAATGATTGGTTGCGAGTAGCTTAGTGATAGCGTAGTAGTCTTAACGCTATCAATTCATTCTTGATTCTACCATCTCCAGCGTCTTTTTCTGCACACGCTCACACCTGGTAGCACACCACGTTCATCCAGTCGACCAACATTATGTCCTCCATCAACACCGCAGCGGCGAAACCTTGAGGATTCTCTTCGCGTCGCTCGCGAGAAAATTGAGTCCCTAGAAGAACAAGCCTCCACTATGACGTCACATGGTCGCACCCTCCAAGATTCTCGGCGCATCGCTCAAGATGAGATCGCGCGCCTCACGCGCGCTTCAGAGTCGGAAACGACACCGGCTTCTCGTATGAAGTCGTTTAAGCTGGATGTTGCCAAATTCGGCGGAGCGGAGTCTGACAAACTCCTCTGCTGGCTTTTACAAGTCAGCACTGCTGCTGACGCTCAGCGTATCCCCGACGACGCCACCTGCGTAGCTTTCGCGATGTCGCATTTGAAAGAAAGGTCGTGCGGGAGATTGGGCGTTCTCCAAACACTTGGCGGACCGCCACTGCTTCCAGTCCTTCGTGGTCTTTGAGACCGAATTTATGGCAATGTTTCTGCCACCCAACTGCGCCTTTCGTTATCGCTCGCAATATCTGGCTTGCAAGCAAGGGAAACGCTCCCTTCAAGAGTTCATCCATGATCTTTGCTACTTGGCTGCGAACATCAACGATAAAGAGTCACTGCCGGAACCCATACGGGTGACCGTTTTCATGGACGGTCTCAACCAAGGCCCGGCGCACACAAAGCTGTTTCGAGCCTACCCGGACACCTTCGAAGAAGCCGTCCGAATCGCGCTTTCGGAATCATTTTCCTTCTCCTTCGCGCACGCACGCGCGGCGTCCTCGGACATGGAAGTCTCCATGCTCGCCCAGGCATCGGGCTACCGCACGTGTATCAATTGCGGTCGCCCGGGACACTTCTCCCGCGCATGCCCAGCACCTCGCCGTGTGGCGTCAGCCGCTCCTCCCTCACTCGGTTCCTCCCGTGCCGCTCCTGGGTTGGGCTCCAACCCAACAAAATGATTTGTTTGGAACTTGTCGTGCCTGGTTTCCCGGCCAGGCTCTCTGCTTTAATCGATTATGGGGCGTCGAACAACTACGCCAGCCGCTCCACTCTCTCTCGCTTCAACCGCTTACCCTCTTCGGATCCCTCCGACAGGGTTCGCGTCAAGATGGCCGAAGGAACACACTGCGTCTCAACCACGCATAATCGTCGACGTTTCCATCACCTTCGACGGTTTCGACTCGGTCGAACCGTTCTATGTTATCGACCTCGATGGGAGATGGGATCTCATCATCGGGATGTCCTGGCTGGAGTCCCACCAGCCATGGATTGACTGGAAGGCCAAATCCGTGCGCAAGGTTACTTGGCTCAACACGAGCCAGCCCTGGATTCATCGGCGGGCTGCCGATCGCCTTCCCCCGTCCACTACCAACCCGCTTGGTCCTCCGTTAGAGGCAATGAGTAATTATCTCGCCTCTCCCAGGTCCGTAGTGCGCTCACCGACCCCAGCGCCCGCGGCCCTCCCGGTCCCAGCCACGGTGCTGCACAACACCCCTTTCGTTCCCCCAACAGAGTGGCCCTCTGTTGTTATCAGTGAGGCTCCGTTATCGCCCCCGATAGCTGCCTCGACCTTGGCGGCCACGTTTATCGAAGAAACGTGTAACTTGAACGAACTCCCTCGGAAGTCTTCCGAGATCCTGGCACTGCCAGAGATGAGCTTCCACCCGCTCGTGGAATCTCTCCGCGCCCATGATATCGCCGCCTTGGCGATAATCACTGTCCAAGAAGAGACGGTTCTCTTTTTGACCTCGATCGCAGATGACTCGGTCCTCGCCGCTCCTTTGAAGTCCCACACGTGTACTCCCTCCAATCCAACCCCTATTACGACCTCCTCCAAGAATTTGAGGACGTCTTCCCGGACGAGGTGCCGTGCCGACTCCAAGTCAACAAGGGCGTTCAACACGAGATTGACCTCGTGCCCGGCGCTAAGTATTGTGTCACGCGGCAATGGCCGCTTCCTCGCGATCAAGTCGATGTCATCGATGCATTCTTCGCGGCCCGCAAGGCGGCAGGTCATGTCCGCGAGAGTATTTCCCCTAACAGCAGTCCGACCTTCTGTGTGAAGAAGCCCGGGGGAAAATGGCGTATTGTACACGCCTTTAACAAATTGAACGCAGCCACGATTCCGGCGCAGACGCCGATTCCTCGCAAGGACGTTATTATCGACGGCATGGGTCGATCTACCATTTTCTCCACCATCGATCTCCGCGATGGCGTTTACTAGATCTTGATGCGTCTATGTGACGTCCCTAAAACGGCAGTTTCTACGCCGAGTGGCATGTTATGGGAGTTGCTGGTCATGCCACAGGTCTCTCCAACGCCTCGGCGACGTTCAACCGCATGGTCACCGCGAAGTTCCGCGCGTTTCGCGACTTCTCCCCGTCGTACTTTGACGACATTTACGTCTACAGCTGGGCTTCACCCGCGCTGTCTGATCTTGACGTTCACCGCGGCCATCCCCGCCAGGTGTTTGAAGTCCTCCGTGCCAACGGACTCTATGCCAACCTCGCCAAATGCATCTTTGGCGTCGACGAAATCCCGGTCCTGGGAGATTTGGTGGGGGTGAACGGATGTCGGGCTGATCCCGAAAAGAACAAGACCATTTCGGAGTGGCCTATTCCCTCCTCCGTCAAGGATCTTCGTCGCTGGCTGGGCCTTGCGACGTACCTCCACAAATACTCGCAAAACTTTGCGGACATCGCCCAGCCGTTGTTTCGGCTTCTCCTCAAGGACGCCCCTTGGGTTTGGAATTCCGCATGTCAAGAGGCTTTCGACGGCCTCAAAAGCAACCTTCAACGCGCCCCGATCTTGGCGTCCCAGACTTCGACCAACCTTTTTCAGTCGTCGGCGACGCCTCGCAGTTTGCAATTGGCTGCTACCTGATGCAGCTCGATGCCTCCGGTCGTCCTCGCCCGGTTTCCTACCAAAGCCGCCCACTTCACGCGGCTGAGCAGGCGTAACCTGTCCACGACTTGGAACTTCTCTCCATGAAGTACGCCCTAACCAAGTTCCGCATCTACCTCCTCGGTGGTAAACCCTTCGTGGTTTACACCGATCATGCGTCCTTACGCACGGCGACGAACACACCACACCTTTCTCAGCGCATGGCGCGCTGGATTTCATTCTTCTCCGAATTCACCTTTTCGGTTCAGTACAAGCCAGGGAAGGACAACATTCTGGCCGACGCCCTGTCGCGGCGTCCGGATCTCGAGCTGACCACGATCGGTCTTTTGACGTCGGGTCTTCACGATCGAATTCGTGCGGCGTACCCTTTTGACGCTGACTGCTCGTCGCGCCTGGCGGCGCTCACCAACTCCGTTTCCCCCAAACCCCGCCGCGCTTCGTCGGCCTTACATCGCTTTGCCCTCGCCGGTGGACTTTTGATGTGCCAACCCATCGCGGACTCGCCCCCGCGCATTGTTGCGCCCGGTGAAGCACAGCTACGCCTCACTCTCCTTCGATCCTACCATGACTCCCCCTGTGGCGGCCATTTCGGCCGCATTTCGGCCGCGACAAAATGCACGCGGTCCTGGCGCGTTCGTACTGGTGGCGCCGAATGTATAAATTTACGTCGCTCACTGCGACGTCTGCCAGCGCACTAAGATCACCGTCTCCTCTCAGGCATTGCTCCAACCTCTGCCTATTCCCGACAAACTTTGGTCGTCCGTTAGCATAGATTTCATGTTTGGCCTGCCGCGCTATGCCCGCGGCAACACCGGCATTATGGTTTGTGTCGACCGCGCGTCGAAGTACGTTATTGCCGTCCCCGTCCGGGACACGCTGAGCGGTGCGGACGCCGCTCGCATCTTTTTCGACCACGTTTTCTGTCGTTTTGGGCTGTCTCGCTCCATCGTTTCGGACCGCGACCCGCGCTTCACGGCGAAGTTTTGGTCCACCCTATTCGCCCTATGCGACACCTCGCTCAATATGTCGACTTCGGACTATCCCAAGTCCGACGGCCAAACGGAACGCGCCAACCGTGTCCTCGAAGATATCCTTCGGAGCTACTCCATTTCCACCGGTTCCTCGTGGGCTGTCACGTTACAGCATGCGGTTTTCGCTTACAACGCCTCGGTTCAGGCGTCCACTGGCTTTTCGCCGCATTATGCGGTCCATGTCCAACACCCCCGCCTCCCTCCAATGCTCGACGGTTTGATCTCAAGTGGGGGTGGAATCCCTGCGCGGCTCCCTTCTGCAGGCGTACCCCCCCAACGCCCCCAGCCGCACTGTCCAAACCATTCAGAGCTTCCTCTCCCGTCGCGTCTCTGTCATGCAACAGATCCATGACAGCATCGCTGCCGCTCAGCAGCGCCAATCAACTCAGGCCAACAAACATGGCCGCTCTAACCTCGCGTCTTTCGCCGCTGGCGACCAAGTTCTCCTCCACAAGTTGGCGGTACCCGCCCATGCATTCCGCACCCGTGGGCTTGAAATGTCTTCCAACGTCAAGCTACGCAGTGCTTGGCGCGGCCCCTTTACCGTTCTCCGCGTGGTCAGCACAACCAACTACAAGCTCGATGTGCCATGAGTTGGGCAGATCCATCCAACATTTTATGTGGGTAAACTCAAACGTTATTTACCCCCATTATCCACATCTACGACCGATGAAGTGACGGCAAACGATCCTCTAGATCCCGCGGCGTCACTTCCTCTTCCGCCGCCACCGACTTCTTCTCCTCCCCCGACACCCCAGCCGTCGTCGTCCTCGACATCGGCACCACCACTTGTTGTGGCGCCGCAATCGCCCGCGCCCACACCCGATAATCTGCGGCTGCTTGCCGCTCCGCCGCTGTCAACTGACCGTCCCGTTGAGGTCCCGACGGCGAATTGTACCTTGCGAATGGATTCATCGGCCGCGCCGCCGTTGCTCGCACCTGCGTATCTTCGCGCGCCCACGTCGACGAACTCGCCGTCGGCGAAGCCCATCCGCTCGACCAGGCGCTCGCAGGGAGCACCGAAAACCCGCTTGGCGTCAACGCCCCCCTTGCACTTGCACCGCCACCGACATCGTCACTTGCCCCCGAGGGAGTGAGCGCCCTGACACCGCCAATCGCCCACGCGAGCGCGATCGTGGGATCTCGATACACAGCGACGGGTCGGCAGTTCGCTATGCGAGTCGGGCCAACTACAACTTGGCATTCAGAGGATTATGTCAAACAACACTTACCTGAGGTCCGCGCCGCATATTTACGCGGGCGGCGATCCGCGCTACAGACCGTGCGTCCAAACGCCGATGCTTCTGTCGCCGCACCACGGCGAAATTAGGCAGCGAGTTGGCCAACCGCCCCGCTGTCAGCGGCAACTGCCCATGCCGCCCGCTGCCTTGTCCGACCAGCGTCCACACAAACGCTACAAGGTACTCTAGCAATTTTCATCATCGCAAAGCTCGATCCGCCCAGCGCTCCAGGCGCTCCCGTTCATGCAACTCGTGCATGGCGCCCTTGAACTCATCGAACCGGTGAAAACTCACCCTCGCAAGCTGCATGCATTCCATGGCCAACAGCATCCACAACACCCGCAACTCAAACGATTGGGCGCTTGCAAACAAGCGCAGGTATCGTTCCACGCCGGCAGCATTGGCCGTCTGGTATCCCCAATCGTCGCGAGTTTCGTCGAACTCGGCCACCACCATCAAACGGCGCGTAACGTCGCGCACATACCCCAAGTCCACGCCACCCCAACCGGTAGGCGTGGAGATCCGAGAGAGATCCCAGTGGAACCCCAACTCTCGCTCGAACACTTTGTCTCGGGCGAGGCCGGTCCGCTCCGGCCCACCAAGTTCGGCTTCCACTTTGGCCTCCGTCTTTACGGCGGCTTCCTTGCCGCTCGGCTTTCCTTCCTTTCCCCCGACGACTTCAGCGTTGGGATGTCCCCCATCACCTGATGATGTCTAGTCACACCTCCGCTGGCCGCCTTCCTCGCTCCTTCTGCAGCCTCCTTGGCTGCTTCATCATCCGCCTTCGCCGCAGCCGCTGCGATCGCTTTGGCCTCTTCGGCCGCTTTTGCCTTCTTGGCGGCCTCCTCCCGTGCCAAGTGCTGCTCCAGCAGCTTTTGCACACCTTCGGCCCACTGTCTGCATAGCGCTCTTCACCAAGTCTGCAGCCGCTTGCTGCTCCAGCTGTCCAAGCCGTTCGCGCTTCACGGCCGCCTTGGCCTCCCAGTCGGCCTTGCACTGCGCCACTTCGGCCGCGTCCTCGCTCGGCGCCACTCCACCGTCGTCATCCGACTCGGCTGTAAGGTCCACTACCTCCACTTGCTGCGTCGGCGCTTCGGCCACTTCCACGCTGTCGTCGGCATCCTCGGCGATTTTGCTCGCCTTGCGCTTCTTGCCTTCGTCTGCCATCTCCAATCTCAACTGTCACGTCACAGTTCCCTCTCATTTCTGACCACGTGATGATGGCACGTTCTGTCTTAAGTAGGGGAGGGTGTAACCGTGCCCACCATCCGGTTACTAACCAGATGACTAGTCGACACCTCTTCAGTCCAAGGTGTCTCTTCGCAGACCAACATGTCCTCTTGCGCAACCAAGATGTTCCCCCGACGATATATCAATGGTTGGTTGCGCGTAGCTTAGTGAGGGCATAGTAGTCTTAACGCTATTAATTCATTCTTGATTCTACCATCTCCAGCGTCTTCCTCTGTACACGCTCACACTATGTATGCTGCAGTCAATAACTTATGACTTGTGGTGATGACTCTTGAATGCGGCCGGTTGCTTGTTTGGTCGAATGGCTTGCCGCGTTGGCGAGAATCGTGCGGCAGTTGGTGGGTATGTCTTCGCGGCCGGTAGCCGTGTTGTTAATGTTACAGGCTCCATGCCATCGACTACAACTCGACAGGACCCGCTCCATTGACTGCTGCATTACCAAGGTCAATAGCGCGGGTCCTATCGAGCTGGCAGATGCCTATTATGTCTGTATATCACCGTACTCCGTTTACTAGTTCACGAGAAACTACAGTTGATGCCATTCCTGGTGATAAGGATAACTTTGCACATATGCATGCATGTTGCGCATGATTGCGTGCCATTCCTGGAGATAAGCATACCTCATTGTCGAAATTGACGCGGGTTTCCACTCAGGCTGGTCGAATGATGGTGAATTTACTGGCTGGAGTTGGGCTTTTTGCGGTGCGAATTATCCTGAATTATCAGTCCATTACAGTACTGGAGGTTGTTATCCGAAGACTATGCGGATATTGGTGTGTCGATTTAGTGGAATGCGGTGGAGATGCTCTAAGTCGTGTAAACCAGTACGACTGTAGATGAAGCGTCGCTGAGCATAGATTTGCAAGGTACGGTAGCGTATATTCTTTTCCACGTGCGGGAGTTTTGTAGTTTGATTGGTTATAACATGCATATGACCATGACGCGCCAAGTATCACACCTGACGCCAGCGAAACTCAAACTCAAAGCGTCGTTGAGACATCGGCCGACTTGTGTCAACAGGATTTGCGTTTCACATACAGTATTTTTGCATTGGCCAATCAAATCACTGGAAAACACATGGCCAAACTCAAACTCTAGCTCAACAGGATTTCGAAAGAGTTCTATTAGAGTTCGAAATGTTGAGCTAGAGTTAATTTTGAAGTCCTCAAGTTGATATTGTGTGTATTACTTCAGAATGATGGTTTCAATAAGCTTTCATTGACCATACAAAACTACTGTGTTTCGTGAATTTGTTTCGTAAAGGGGTTATTATGGTACAATACATGTGATCACATGGTAATAATGTCAACCAAGCCAATCGAACGAATGTAAGCAACGAACGAGTTGCAACAACGCACCAAGTGTTTGAGATTTGTCTGACGTAAAGTAAGTAATGCCGTGACAGTGCACCAAAAGGAGAAAAATCATTATATTAGTGGGTTTTGTGTGTTTCTCGCCTTAGATTAGAGCATCTCCACCGTACACGGAGTTTGACCGTGAAACTGAATATTCCTCAGTGTCGATGATATTTTGTCCCTGAATTAACCCCCACCCCAACACTGAATTCGACACTGAAACTGAGTTTCAGAACCCCAGGCCCTGAGTCTTGACCATTCCACACGTAGTTATCACTAAATGTAAAAACTCCGAGTCGAGGTTTTGCGCCGAATTCATCTAATAACAAGACTTTGTATGGTATACAAACTAGTCTACACGAAATCCTTTTCAATTGCTGGACGACGATGTCGTTATCGATGAACGACATGGAGACCGAGTTACTCTCCAAGACATGGGTAGCAATGTATGAGGATCGAATCAAGGGTAGTAACTCTGAGACGACAGCCCTTGTAATACGCTTCATTGATTCGATGGCTGTCGATTCACCAAGGCGACGATGGTGAATCGAGTAAGCGCAGACGCCAAAGGCCAGCATACACATCGACGCAGTGCACTCCTGTAATGGCGACATACCTATATTATCTTTTAAGCTGGGTGGTTTCCCGTTCTCTCCAACGTTGTCATGGACTATCTGCTGGTGCCCACCATCCCGGTTTCGATCCAAGTTTGGCTGGCGACCGCGACGAGACCCGCTCCATGATCGTGATTGCACAGCTGCGGCTTGGCGGACGGCTTCTTGGGCTGCCGTACTTATGATGGCGTCGCTTTCCTCGTCGGACTAATCCGTCAGTTGATTCCACTACTGCATGAGTCGGCCATTCCAGCGCATTGGGTGGACTTCGAAATGACCATGCATATCTTATCTATTTATACTGTATTATTTTTCGCAGAATTGCGGTTAAAAGGTCAGTGTCACGATGCGAACGAATATCCTTCACACTCAAATTTATTGAATTCAGTGCAGAATATGACACTGAAAAGGACTCAGATCCAGGGTCAAAATCCGTGTTCCGGTGGACATGCTCTTAGTGTGGAATATACCAATTGGGCTTACTGTGAGTTTTTGTAGCAGCAAGTGCGTGGCAAGATGCTAGCAACAAGTACTGCCAAGCCCCACATGTACACGTTCTTTCCGGTACGTCGACGATGTGCACGCGATGTGTGAGCTTGGTAGAAGCAACTTCACAGTGTCGTACTGTAAACTTGCCGATTTTGCGTATGTCACTGGATCCTTTGCTCATCTCGGAGGCAATATACTCGCGTGACCAACAGAGTTATTGATTCAGGTATCGCTTTGCAGAGTCTACCAAACCACCTGGACGCTTGCCACAAACCTGCTCGTAACGCTTCTTGAACTTCCACATGAGCTTTGTCATGTATCCAAATAGCGCTGATACTGGGTTGGACGCTCTTAGGAGTTCGCCGAGCCAGGCGTTGGTTTCTTCGGCGCAATTGGATGTCTTGATTCCATACGTTGCAAAGCCAGCGCGGTTGACAGCCCAGGTTGACCATTGCTGCATCCCACCTTCGATCCTCTGGAGGTATAGGTATGCTCTGGGAACGTCTACGTGTAGCTGGCGCATGGCAGCCCTTGCTTTGTCCACTGTGACAGCGTCGGCTGCCTGGTAAACCAGAAGGCGGTCCGCGTCTGTCATCTTGATCTTCTTACTTCGAATGTTCAAACAGATATGCCACATGCAATATCTGTACCAGCACAATGGGTATACGGCCTTCACCGCGTTCGGAAGGCCTAAATCACATTGAAGTGTTGATCATGTCAATCAGAACTTTTGTTTATTGCATCTACAGTGTAGATTCTACCTTTATCCCGATCGGACACGAATAAGGTCGCGCTAACGTCAAACCCGATGTTGGACGCCTTCAAATGTTTTAAGAACCATACCCACTTTGTAGGGAGTTGATAACGCAGAGGGAATTGTAACTAATGCTATACATACGTGCGCTCTGCAGGAGTAACTTCTAGTGTCCATGGCCGAGCACGCCGCATGCCAATCGAGCTTGGTCGTAAACTGACGTCAACAATTACGTCTGTTCTCATTGGTCGATAACCCTATGACGCCACTAGAGTGACGTCGCTACATTCTCCCCCGGTTATCGACTTCGCCGCTTGTATCTTGGCTCGCAGATCTTGAACCAGTCGCTTGAAATGGGAAACATGTTTGATGTCCCGCTCAAGTTCCCAGGTCGCTTCGTATTCGGGCAATCCATGCCACTTGACGAGGTACTCTTTCTTGCGGTTGAACTGCCGTTGCTTCGACGATGAAGACTTCGTGGCCACTGTCGTCCAAAAGCATTACAGTTGTTTTGGGTATGGGTCGGTTGGTAAACCGATCCGTTTGGCCATGGCACTTCTTCAGTCGATCAACATTGAAGACGTTGTGAAGACGCTTCAAGCTCTTTGGCAACTCCAACTTCATAGCATTCGGGTTGATTACTTGTATGATCTTAAAGGGACCAATGAACTTCGGTACTAACTTTGGTTTATCATCCTTCTTCACCAACTTCGCATGCTTGATGGGGACGTTGCATGTCGCTAGCATTACAAACTCGCCTTCGCGAAACTCTCATTTGGAGCGCTTTTTGTCGTAGTAGCTCTTTTGACGAGCCTGTGCTTTGTCAAGGTTTTCAAGTGCCATCTTGACTAATGCTTTACGTTGCTCGGAAAAGTTCTTCGCGTACTCATTCAAAGTTTCAACTTGATTAAGAATGGGGTTACGCAACTTTCTGCCCGTGTCCACTTCGAATGGAATGAGTCCTGTCGACGCTTGAATCAATCCTTGGTGCGCATACTCAATGGTGCCGAGGTGCTCTGACCAGTCATGTCCGAGGTAACTGACTTGGCAGCGCAAGGCATCTTCGAGTGTCCGATTTTGGCGCTCTGTGGCTCCATCACTCTGCGCTCTTCCTGCAGTCGTCATGAAGTGCTTGACTCCCATGATTTTCATGAGCTCCTGCCAAAACTGGCTGGTGAACTTGGAGTCACGATCACTGATAATGACCGCCGGTAGGCCATGGTGCCGCACTATTGTGTCGAAGAACTCCTTGGCCACTTGAGGAGCATCGACAGTCGACGTCGTAGCACAGTACTTGGGTCGTTTGGACGTCTTGTCCACGCACGTCATGATCGCATCCTTGCCATTGGATACAGGCAAGCCCGTGATCCAGTCGATGGAAACCGTGTGCCAACACTCATCTGGCGACTTGATGGGAATCATCTTGCCATTGGCTTTGGCACTGCTTGTCTTGTAGCGTGCACAGGTTTCGCAAGTAGCGACGTAGAGCTTGACGTCGTCCTCAAGTCCCACCCAATAGTACCATTGTGCAATGTGAAGTTGCGTTCGACGCACACCTGGATGCGCCGTTATGCTGGTGTCATGACTCTGCGAAATGATCTCGCCTTTCAAGTAGTCGTCGTTCGGCACACACAACTTCCAAACTTGGTCTTTCGACTTAACGAAATAGAGTCCATCATTCATTACGAACTTATTGTCGTTGGCAAACTCCTTCGTCTTCTCGTACGCCTTCAGGAACCGTTTTTTCAGGTTCGAGTCCATCTTCACCATGCTGTACGATACTTCTTCCGCGTGATGGATGACGAGTTGTTGAGGAACTTCGACTTCGACACTACCAACGCACTCCTCCCCCGGAGAAGGCAAGTCCGTCAACAACTGCAATGTGCGGACATCCATGCACTTGAAGGCCGCGACGCGTGTCGTCCACTCATGAACACGACGATAGCGGTCGTAGCATGAAGAATCGCAGTGATGCACTGTGCAAGTGTTGATGTGAATGTCAGCGCGTGGAGGGCGCGACAATGCATCTGCAACCACGTTCGTCTTGCCTGGACGATGGTGCAACGTGAAGTCAAAACTACTGAAAAAATCCAACCAACGTGTTAACTTTGGCGTTAAGATTGGAGTCTTCAGAAACCAGTGACAAGTCGAATTGTCGGTGAACACGTCGAAGTGAGATCCATAGACGTAGGGTCTCCACTTAGTCAGTGCCAGCTTGATGGCATACAGCTCCTTTTCATGAGCAGGCCAGTTGCGTTCTGCGTCACCAAACTTCTTCGAGAGGAAAGCGATTGGGCGATCATCGCCTTCGGCATCCCGCTGTGAGAGCACTGCACCACAACAGTAGCCCGAGGCATCCGTGGTGATCATGAACGGCTTGTCAAAGTCAGGCAGTTGCAACACTGGAGCCTGTTGCAACGCCGCCTTGATGACGAGAAACGCTTTGTCATGCTGCGCTGTCCACTGCCATGGGACATTGTCCTTCGCAAGCTCACTTATCGGCAACACCAACTTGGCGTAGTTGGCGATGAACTTGCGGTAATACCCTGCCATA